TGTCAGGAGCAGACTGGAGCTGGGTCCATGTGTCTCAGTTGTTTCAAGCTCCTGCATTTGATGATTACAGATAGAGAACAAGAATACTAACTCTCAGCTTTCTCAGAAAGAGTCACTGCTGCTGATGTATGCTCTGCACTGGGTCCCAAAGGAGAAAGCCTTCCCAGCAGCGTAGGCCGAACTGCAGAAAGTTTCTGAGCCCCGAAGGATACTCTTGTCTTCACGCCACTTCCGTGAGGAGGAAGGCACTTTTATTGAAATTTGTTTTCTGCACAACTTTTGGGAACAAGAGGGCAAAGAGCCTTCCCTGGCACTCCTCACTGAGTCAGAAACAGGCAGGGACAAGCCTGACCTAGAGGAGATTCTGTTCTGTGGGCCTCCCCAGCAGGAGCTGCTGATGAAATCAGAACCCCAGAAACACCGAAGGGAAACTTTAAAGGACAGATAATGGATGATTCAGTGTTAACATGAGGAAAACTTTTCTTCAAATAGGGCTAGGCAACAGAATTAATCTGCATATTTACATTTCTTAGCAAAAGCAGTAAGTGCTTACATTATTTTTTGCTTTAAGGGTCAGTATAAACTGCTTATAGTGATTGAATAGATTTTTATTCAGACAGTAAAGAGGAATGCATAGGATCAAGCTAATCATTGTTTAATCAGAAAATGGGCCCAATTTTAACCCTCATTTAAAAGGGAGTGATCATATATAATAAAAACCTCAGTTAACGCTATTAAAAATTATCTTTCTTGAAAATGTTGGTATTTATGAATGCATATTTACATAGTAAAATACTAAAAAAATCATCTCAGAGAAAGAAAGTTGAGAGAAGTGTTTTATCTGTGGGGAAGGAAAGAGGACAAAGCAATGGATGAGTTCACAGAAAGAAAGAGACAGCGAGCGTGAGCAAATAGGCAAAATATTACTATCTATTTAATTTGGTACATTTGTAGTGCATGGTACTTTTACATAAATTGTAAAGCCTTCTGTATGTTTTAAGTATTTTATAATTTTTAAAATTTTTATTGAGCTTTTGTACATTTTATACAACAGCTCTTAATCAAATTTAGATCCCTCCACATCCATGCCCCCCACACCTCCACATAATTTCAAATATTTCTTTTTAAAAAAGAATATGAAGACATGCAGCAAGATACTAGAAAGCTAAAAAGGATTCATTCTTCTTAGCTACCTGAAAGAAACATGCATAGCACCCAATGAACAGCAGCCCGAGTTCCAGAAATGGTGGTGCTGTAGTGGGGAGATGTCAAAGTCTAGCCTTCGTCTGAACTATCTGCCACAGTTTTAAGTATGGCACGTGCTTCCAGGAAATGCAGGGCCTTGGGAAACTCCTAGAGTTAGTGATTTAACTTGAGGCACAGAGTCTGAACAGTCATATAAGTTTACATGCTCTATGAAGTGTAGTTTGGTTTTTGCAGCCCAAACCACAGCCCCTGAACATTTGCTACCATCCTCACCTGACATCAACCACCAAGCTTTCAGCGTGGCTCTCCAGAGTGGGGTTGTTTCAAGAGGCAGGCAGGAAAACAAGAAGTGAGTGTAGAGAGACAGAGGCTGCCAGTGAAGACGAGGATGCCCTAGCATCCTGCCTTGGAGCTTGAGCGAATGCACTTACTATACATATGTAGCACCCGGAAGGCTGTGAAGAAGTGTCACTTTTCTTCAGTAAATGCGCATGTCCTGCTGCTAAAGCTTCTCTGGGGATGGATTATGGGGTCGGGGTGAGGGTACTCTCACAATACCACCTGGTAGGATCACTCTGTAGCTGCACAGTGGACCAACCACAAAATGCTAGAGCAACAGAAGTGAACAGTTCACCAATGGACCACAATTGTATAGGGCCAATCCAGAACAAACATCTAGCTTTTCTCCTAATATTAGTTCTTACGTCGTTAGCATCAGTATCAACACTGACAAGTGACTTTCAGTTATCCATCTCACAGCTATGCAGACATCAAATGCATATTGTATTTATATCTGGCACATAGACACGTGGTAAAAAGTGCTGGATCTGATCCTGAACCCCTGACACCCTTTGCCTCTTTTTCTTTCTTTCCTGGAATGATTCTCCCTTCCTTAATTCACCACTCTCTTCCAGGTCTTGTCCCCAAACTCCTGGCCCCCAGTACCTCAGCTGCACACATCCTACCTGAGCACTAGTCTTCTGCAGGAGAAAGAATCACCAGGCCTGTGTGGAAGGCCAGTTAATTCTTCTGAGTCTCAGCTCTGCAATGGTCTCACATTTACTATAAATACTGAGAGGTGGTAGAGGAAAAGTACTTGGTAAATCAATGTTGAATAAAGGCTAATTCTGTTCTTTGTGGGTGTTCCTCATTCCTCATCTATGTTCTAAGGGTTTGGAAGTCTCTGACTGTTGTGATGGGTTGTTTTAGATGCACAATCAATGACAGTGAGCAGATCTAGAAAGCCAGCCAAATAGTTTTTCTTTTCTGTGTGTCTGCAAGTGTGTTTCTAGAGGGTACTGGTCAGTGTACTGGTGCCCTCAGTGTGGGTTGGGCAGTCCAGTCAGCTAGAGGCTCAGAAAGGACAAGAAGATGGAGAATCCTGCTCTCCTCCTCTATCTTTCTCTAGAAGTTGGGGGCACTCCTCTTTTCTTTGGATATCAGAACACCAGGCACTCCAGCCATATCAGCATCACCATGTCTTGATTCTTAGGCCTTCAGTCTTAGACTGAGAGTAACCGTTGGCTCCTCTGCTTCTGAAGTTTTGGGCTTGGAATGAGCAATGTTACAAACATTCCTAGGACCACAACTTGCAGACAGTATATAGTGGGACTTCTCAGCATTCATAATCATGAGAACCAATTCCTCCCATCTATCTATCTCCCTATCTATCTCCCTATCTATCTATCTATCTCTCTCTCTCTATCATCTATCAGTCTGTCTGTCTATCTATCTATCTATCTATCTATCTATCTATCTCTACCTACCTATCACCTATCATTTATCATCTATCTTTCATAATCTATCATCCATCATATCTATCTATCTATCATCTATCTATCTATCTGTCTGTCTGTCTGTCTGTC